TGTGTGTGTGTGTGTGTGTGTGTGTGTGTGTGTGTTGCAGCTCAGCATTCATCGTGGCCAGCTGCCAGCAGCCTCGTCTTTCCTCCATCAGGCTGTGGTTCTGGCTCATCAGACACACAACAACCAGGCTATTATCTACACATACAGCCAGGTAACACTCACCTATTGTAACAGTCAGGTAACACTCACCTGTCCTGTTGTAACACTCAGGTAACACTCACCTGTCCTGTTGTAACACTCAGGTAACACTCACCTGTTGTAACAGTCACCTGTCCTGTTGTAACACTCAGATAACACTCACCTGTCCTGTTGTAACACTCAGGTAACACTCACCTGTCCTGTTGTAACACTCAGGTAACACTCACCTGTCCTGTTGTAACACTCAGGTAACACTCACCTGTCCTGTTGTAACACTCAGGTAACACTCACCTGTCCTGTTGTAACACTCAGGTAACACTCACCTGTCCTGTTGTAACAGTCAGGTAACACTCACCTGTCCTGTTGTTACAGTCAGGTAACACTCACCTGTTGTAACACTCAGGTAACACTCACCTGTCCTGTTGTAACACTCAGGTAACACTCACATCCAGCCTCATGCTGTAGATCTTGTGTTATTTTGTTGACAGTTTCAGGAACAATAAAGTTTTCTGCTCCTCAGATGGCGAATGTGGCGTATGTTCAGGGCCAGCTGGACGGTGTGAGTATTGACCAATCACAGCTCAGCTTGTGTCCTCTGCTGTCCAATCATTTCTTCTTCTCTGCTCCTCTTCCTGTTAGGCAGAGAAACTCTTCAAAGCAGCGATGAGCTACATGCTGGCAGGAGGAACTCCACAGGTAATCACTGCAGGATCTGCACCTGGAGCTGTGTTCTCTGTCACCATGGCAACACTGTGGAGCTGATACCTGGTGTTGCCATGGTGATCCTGCAGGTTAATGTCTGACTGTAGGCTCAGGGGTCAATCCTAACCTGACTTCCTGTTTGTTTTCAGGATGATAACGCCATCATCGAGATGTCTCTGAAGCTGGCCACCATCTACGCCGAGCAGAACAAGTTAGGGGCGGAGCTAAGTGATGGAGTGACAGGAAGCTCAGAGCTCAGAGGTCACCTGACTACTGTCTGTTTACTGTTTCAGGGCGGAGCTTGCAGAGCATGGCTTCATGTTCTGTACAGAGTCTCTGGAGACAAAACTGGAGACACAGAAGGGACTGCCTGAGGAAGACCAGACAGGTGAGACACACACACAGGTGGGACAGGTGATGTTTAATGTTTGTATTTATTGTTATTTTTGTTTGTTGTTTTCTTTTACGTTTGTTTGTTGTCATTAGAGGAGCAGGAAGAACTCAGGAAGGAGACCCGCCTCCTGCTGGGTCTGTGTTTGGACTCACGAGCTCGATACCGAGCGTCAACGTTACACCTGAGCCAGGCCGAACTGGACTACAGGACCGCCTTGGCCATCTGCCACCAGGAGCAGGGAGAGACACACCCACAGGTGAGCCACGCCCACAGGTGAGACACACCCACAGGTGAGCCAGGCCCACAGATTAGACACGCCCACAGGTGAGACACACTCACAGGTGAGACACACCCACAGGTGAGCCAGGCCCACAGATAGCCACAGACACACCCAGAGGTGACCCACGCCCACAGGTAGCCACAGACACACCCACAGGTGAGACAGACACACCCACAGGTGAGACAGACACACCCACAGGTAGCCACAGACACACCCACAGGTGAGACACACCCACAGGTGAGCCACGCCCACAGGTGAGACAGACACACCTATAGATGAGACACATCCACAGGTGAGACACACGCACAGGTGAGACAGATACACCTATAGGTGAGACACACCCACAGGTAACCACAGACACACCCACAGGTGAGACACACCTATAGATGAGACACACCCACAGGTGAGACACACCCACAGGTAACCACAGACACACCCACAGGTGAGACACACCCACAGGTAACCACAGACACACCCACAGGTGAGACACACCTATAGATGAGACACACCCACAGGTGAGCCACGCCCACAGGTAGCCACAGACACACCCACAGGTGAGACACACCCACAGGTGCGACACACCCACAGGTGAGACAGACACACCCACAGGTGAGACACACCCACAGGTGAGACACACCCACAGGTGAGACAGACACACCTATAGATGAGACACACCCACAGGTGAGACAGACACACCTATAGATGAGACACACCCACAGGTGAGCCACACCCACAGGTGAGACAGACACACCTACTGTATAGATGAGACACACCCACAGGTGAGACAGACACACCCACAGGTGAGACACACCCACAGGTGAGACAGACACACCTACTGTATAGAGACACACCCACAGGTGAGACACGCCCACAGGTAACCACAGACACACCCACAGGTGAGACAGACACACCTACTGTATAGATGAGACACACCCACAGGTGAGACAGACACACCTACTGTATAGATGAGACACACCCACAGGTGAGACACACCCACAGGTGAGACAGACACACCTACTGTATAGAGACACACCCACAGGTGAGACACGCCCACAGGTAACCACAGACACACCCACAGGTGAGCCACACCTGAACACTGAAGTCTGTGTCTTTCAGACTCTGGTCCTGATGAGCGACCTGGCCACCATCTTGGATCTGCAGGGCCGTCACGATGAAGCCCTGGTCCTGGTCCAACAAGCAGTGGACCTGAGCCGGTCTGTGGGACACCCAGATTATCACGTGCTGCTGGGAAACCTGGCAGGCATCTTGCTGCACACAGGTAAGTACAGGTGAGAGTCTGTCACCTGTTCTCTACTGATCTGACCTGATCCGGTTCTGTTCCCTCAGGTCAACTGGAGAATGCGGTCCGGTTCTACAACGAAGCTCTGGAACTGGCCTGGCAGGCTGGAGACCAGGAGGCTGTGAACCGGGTCCAAGAGGGACTGAAGGAGGTGCAGAAGAGGAGGAGTCAGGAGAAGAAGGCGGAGCCAGAGGGAGCAGCAGAATGACTGTGGGCGGAGCTTTTAATATTTAGGATTAGATGGACGTGGTTCTCTGGGATCCTGTAGATCCTGTTCTGTCTTCATGTGTCCACTTTGTCTCCAAGCTGAAAGCTGAGGTGTCCTCGCTGTCAGGACATGTCCACCTGTCTGTGTTGTTCCCACAGGTGAACTTCCTGTTTACTCAACCTGTCAGAATAAAAGCATGATGACGACTGTGAGCTGTGTACACAAAATACAGAGGCTTCCCTTAATCTGATGTTTGTGTAGAGAAAGGGGCGGAGCTAAAGAGAGAGCACCTGAGAACCAACTTGAAGGTGTTAATAAAAGTGCATGTGGAGGGGGCGGGGCCAGAGAGCAGCTGCCTTCTGATTGGTGGATAAAGCTTCTCTTGTTTGATCTGATCTGTTTCAACAGTTAAAATAAAAAATAAACAAACTTGTTTGATTTGATGGTTTCAGTCTGAATGAAGCTGAAATGTTTCATGTTTAAATAACAGGAAATAAAACGATGATAAAATCTGTTCCGTTTGTGGATTTCAGGTTAGAACAGGTTCTAAAAGCAGCTGAGAGGCACAGGAAGTGTCCCACAGCTGACCAGGAACACTGGTCCCTGATGGTTCCAGATAGGCTGGGTTCTGAAGGACCTGCTGTTGGACTCGTTCAGACCTGAAGAACACAGGAAGGTTCCTGGTGTCGTGAGAAGCAGAAACTTTACAGTCCTGTAAATCTGTGTAAACAGGAGGACGTGGTCAGGTTCTGTGGGAAAGAAAATAATTACTGTTGTTGTAAATGCTGAAGGAAACACAAACACACCTGTGAGGACATAAAAGCTGCTGCAGATGGATCACTGCTGGTCCTGCAGAACCTGGAAGGTAAGAACCTCAACGGATCAGAGGAGCAGCTTGAAGTGGCTTCAGGTCGGCTGAACTTCTGCTTTTCTTCCAGCTTTGGTTCCTTCAGCACGCTGACCTCTGACCTGGCAGGAGTTATGGACATGGATCAGAACTCAGTGGGTTCTGCTGATGTTCTCCCATCTGCTGTGAGTTTCTGAGCACATTCTTTCATCTCCTGTTTGAGTTCTGGTTCTGTCTAAAGAACCTTCAGGTTCTGTCTGTTCTTCATCACGTCACGGTTCCTCCTCTCTCTGCAGCCTCGTCCTCCACATGAGAAGAACTTGAAGGAGGCTTCTGATGCTCTGAGCTCTGCTGCCTGCAGCCCAGCAGGGAACCATCAGGTCCACGATGAGCAGAGGATGGAAGGTGAGAAGTCTGAGAATCAGAACCTCCTCTGGTTCCTGCAACACTGAAATCTTTTTAAAGATCTTCTACTTCTGGCCGGCTGTGGTGAGAGGGGTTGTCTTCTAACTGTCTCTGTTGTAGTGTCCTCGAGCAAGACACTTCACCCACTTACCTACTGATGGTGGTCAGAGGGTCTGCTGGTGCCGGTGCATGGCAGCTCCACCTCTGTCAGTGTGGCCCAGAGCAGCTGTGGCTACAGTGTAGCTTAGCACCATCAGAGTGTGAAAGACTGGAGTGTGAAGAGCTGTGGACTTCAGAAAGCTCCTTATGAGATCAGATCACTTACCATTTCTGTTTGTAGGAGCTGAATGGCTCCTGGCAGACAGTTAACCTGAGTTACAGTTAACCTGGGTTACAGTTAACCTGAGTTACAGTTAACCAGAGTTACAGTCAACCTGAGTTACAGTTAACCTGGGTTACAGTTAACCTGAGTTACAGTTAACCTGAGTTACAGTTAACCAGGGTAACAGTTAACCTGAGTTACAGTTAACCTGAGTTACAGTTAACCTGAGTTACAGTTAACCAGGGTAACAGTTAACCTGAGTTACAGTTAACCTGGGTTACAGTTAACCTGAGTTACAGTTAACCTGAGTTACAGTTAACCAGGGTAACAGTTAACCTGAGTTACAGTTAACCTGAGTTACAGTTAACCAGGGTTACAGTTAACCAGGGTTACAGTTAACCTGAGTTACAGTTAACCAGGGTTACAGTTAACCAGGGTAACAGTTAACCTGAGTTACAGTTAACCAGGGTTATAGTTAACCTGTTGAAATTATTTCAAATAAAAAAACTGCTGAGTCACTCTTCATTCTGCTGACTGATGGTTCTAACACAGGTGTATGCAGACAGGAATTGTCTGAAGTTTCAGCTGCACTCACCTCACAGGTGAAAGGTCAGCTGACTTCCTGCTGGACTCTGATTGGCTGTTCCCAGGAACAAAGTGATGAGAAGAACTAAATCTCATTTCTATTGAAACCTGAGTGTTTCCTCCCTGACTGCTGATGTCAGAGCACACCTGTGGGAGCAGCTTTAAGCTGATTGGCCCATTCTGTCTGTTCCTTTTGAACTCTTTCAGCTGAGCTGAGATCCAATTAGGAGCAAAGATTTCCCATGAGACCGAGGGCTCGGGGGGCTCGGGGGTTTACAAAGACTAATGTTGGTCATGTGAGGTTAGTGAATCAGCTCTAACAGGAACAAGTTCAGGTGTTTCACCTGCAGACGTACAGGTAAAACAAATCTTTCAGAAGAAAAATAAGTTCCATCTTTCCTGTGAAAAAGTGAATCTTTAAATTGTAGTTTTACATTGTGGGTCAGATGATGGTTTTACAACACAACCTATTTTTATTTAGCCTTGCCTCAGATTTTTGTAAATAAACAGTCAGATATTCTTTTTGCTCTGACTCCGCCCCCTCAGGTCAGCGATTGGACAACAATCACCTGGTGAGGCGGAGCTACAATGTATCCAAAGATGAGCTGAATGGACCGACAAACATGCAGCAACAGCGAGCACAGCACTCGTCTCAAGACGTAAGTGGGAGGGGCTTAATGTGCATCAGGTTAAAATCAAACATTACAGGTTACCTGGGGTCGGATTTATAAAACTGGCGTACGCCACTTTTTACACCAAGGTTGTGATTTATAAAATCCAAACTTGACGTGAAAATGTGCCTCACAGGTCTGACCCTCACAGATCTGACCCTCACAGGTCTGACCCTCACAGATCTGACCCTCTGACCCTCACAGGTCTGACCCTCACAGATCTGACCCTCACAGGTCTGACCCTCACAGACCCTCACAGGTCTGACCCTCACAGATCTGACCCTCACAGGTCTGACCCTCACAGGTCTGACCCTCACAGACCCTCACAGATCTGACCCTCACAGATCTGACCCTCTGACCCTCACAGGTCTGACCCTCACAGATCTGACCCTCAGAGGTCTGACCCTCACAGCTCTGACCCTCACAGATCTGACCCTCTGACCCTCACAGCTCTGACCCTCACAGGTCTGACCCTCACAGATCTGACCCTCTGACCCTCACAGGTCTGACCCTCACAGATCTGACCCTCACAGGTCTGACCCTCACAAGTCTGACCCTCAAAGATCTGACCCTCTGACCCTCACAGGTCTGAACCTCACAGATCTGACCCTCACAGGTCTGACCCTCACAGGTCTGACCCTCACAGATCTGACCCGCTGACCCTCACAGGTCTGACCCTCACAGGTCTGACCCTCTGACCCTCACAGGTCTGACCCTCACAGATCTGACCCTCTGACCCTCACAGGTCTGACCCTCACAGATCTGACCCTCACAGATCTGACCCTCACAGATCTGACCCTCACAGATCTGACCCTCTGACCCTCACAGCTCTGACCCTCTGACCCTCACAGGTCTGACCCTCACAGATCTGACCCTCTGACCCTCACAGATCTGACCCTCACAGGTCTGATCCTCACAGATCTGACCCTCACAGGTATGACCCTCTGACCCTCACAGGTCTGACCCTCTGACCCTCACAGGTCTGACCCTCACAGGTCTGACCCTCACAGATCTGACC